TAGTAGATTAAAAAATTAATCTAAAAAACCATGTTTTCAAAAAGCAAAAAATAACCTTAAACGTGGTGCGCATGGAGATTGTTGGGAAGAAGTGAAATACAAATGAAATAGATGCGCACCACATTTAAGGTTATTTTTTGCTTTTTGAAAACGTGGTTTTTTAGATTAATTTTTTAATCTACTATAATTATTTTATTTTAATCAACTCGAACCTTCTGAAATCAGGTTCAAATTTCTGCACACACAAACCATTGACAGTAAGCAAAAAAAAACCGTGTTCAACTGCAGTCAAGAATTGTAAACCTAACTCAAAAGAATTCAAATTAAATAGCAGACCCGTAAAACATGTTTTTTTTTTCTTAGTCAGCAATAATCGAACACAAAGAAGTCAAACCCACTCACCGGTGAATACAAGAAAGCCTCGCTTTTGTTGTCGATCAAAATCAGCCGAGATCCAGTGATTTCAGGGAATATCTTGCGGATCCCGACTCTGTGCTTGTAGTCACTCACGATACTCCAGTCATCCAGGCCAAAGTAGAACAAACCTCCAAACTGTAAAATAACAATAAACAATAAAAATTAAGTGGCTCAGTTCTTCGTACATTGTTTCTCGAGTATTTTCGGAAGGCTGAAAGATGATTTCATGCTTGTAAAAGTTACATCCGACCTATTCCCCATCATTATTCAAATGTTTTTCATCACAAAATGACGAAAGAAGAGTTGAAATTACTGTATCACATGAATCGCGATCATTAGATATTTCACTAACTTTCACAAGTCAAATTCAGTCGAATCGCTTCCCTTTAAACGGAAACATCAAATTACATTTTCAATGTTTTCTTCTTTCCTGCATAAATGAAAAATAGCCAAAAGGCCTCCAGAAAATTCGAGTTATGGAAGCTTGAATGGGAAAACCATTCAGTTATAGGCGTTTTTAATTCAGTGTTTCTAAGGGGATTCAAACAGACTTGATTCCAAATTCGACATAGGGAAGTTCGAGTCAACGAGGTTCAACTGTAATGTACAAAATTCGATTTTTGTAATTTTACTGAAGCTCGTCGGAGAAAATAAACCCCCGATTCTCGCTTCGGAATAACTGATCCAGCATTACTGTAATTTCGCGAATTTTTATGACTCGAAAGCTCAAGTACCCAAACAGCCTTATTAAAAAGCCGCAATAAAACAATTCTTCCAAACGTTTCCAAGAACAATCGACAATAACTAACGTCTGTCGAAAATATGAAGAAGTCTTGCGTGATGCCGTGATCCGTGATGACGATGTCAGTTTGCTGCTCTCGGCCTGGAAATAATTTCATTTCTCTTTCCTCCGTCTCTCCAGCATCGGCTTCCAACTGAAAAAACATTGGTTCATTGTCAAAATCACGAACACAAAATAAATTATTCACACGAAACCTCACCAACTGATTGTTCGAAACCCACAGAACGCACTCATTTTTCATTGAATAGTAAGAGAATGAAATAAAAACGAAGCTCACCAAGTGAAGCAGGACTTTCCCATCATGCAAAACAGCAGCATAAACTTCATTCAACTTGACAGAAGTCACATTTCCCGCGTATTCCTTATCCTTGACGAACCTCTTGGCACCGAGACCTCCAGAGACCTTGTCCGGTGGCCCGAGGGCATAAAACCAAACCCTGTTGTTCATGCCGGCAGCATAATGAGTGGGTCCGATGCCCAGGAATGTGGGTTCTACGTCCAACCGACGGGTCCACTCCAACCCAGACTGCCAAAAACAGGTGTAGAAAAGGTTGCCAAATACTGCAGTAACTCAATTACCATTTCAAAAATACAAGGGGAAAAAAAACATACCGGTGAGAACTGCAAAACCTTTTAGAAGTATTCATAGCTTTGGTTCGCGTCATACTTGATTTCAACGTGGAATTTTGAACCAATTTAAAAAAAAAAGGGAAAAACGGTAGATTCGCATTCAATCAAACTTCAATTCAAGTCAAAATTTAAATTATAATTTTTAGAACACAGTGAGACCTCTTCCAGTCAAGCTTCATGCAATCAACAGAGAAAATTCAAGTTGGGGAGGTTTGAGTCAGGGAAACATGCATTTTTGTCAACAAAAAGAAAGAATGATTACAGGAATTTCTAATTTGTGATACAGTACTGTACTTTGAACCTTAAATTGCTTTTAGAATGAGTTGACAGGATGCTGAACTTGGAGACAAGGGTTCATTTGCCCAATTAGTCTTTCACTTCCTTTTTCATTGCTTTTGCTCACCTTAATTGAGTCAATAAAATAATACAGTAACAAAAAGGACTCCAGGAAATTCAAGTTACAGATGTTTGAGGGAAAAGCCATCAAGTGAGAGAGAATTCTAATGGATTGTTTCTAAGAAAATTCAGACAAAGACTTGAAAAAAATTCGACATAGGGATATTTTTCGACTTCTGGAGGTTCAACCATCTTGTAATTTTCCATTTCAAAAAAAGAGTGCATTTCTTACTTAGGGATACATTTCTATCCAAGTTGAGGCTGAAAAATACAGTTGCAAGTCTCCCTTAAGGGCTTGTTATACCCATAAGTAAATACGATACTACTCGTGATTGGCACAGTACGATAATGAACTTCAGCAGCAATTCTCCTTGGGTTCAAATTTCAAATTTTAAGCTGAAAAATGTGGGTTTGCGTTTATTCTTTGACAAATCACATGTAAGACAATGAGTATAAATGCAGTTGAGAAGAGCATTGTTGTATGTACATCCCAAGTGGGGAGCTATTTTTGCTGTGACCCCACAGTAGGTGCACACCAGGATCACAACTGGTGCATTTGGGATATTCTGTGGTTACAAGTGTGCACTCCTGTAGAAGAAATTTTGCTACCATTCCAGGGCTACACTTGGTGCACAAATGTGACATAACAGGAGTATCACACAAATGCACAAACTGTAACCTTGGTGTAACTTATTTGTTTACAAATGTGACCCTGAGAATGCACAAACTGTAACCTTGGTGTAACTTATTTGTTTACGAATGTGACCCTGAGTAATCCTGGTGTGAACACACAATTGGTGCACATTAGGGATATGCATGAGCAACAGAAGAACTTAGGTACACTTCAGGTGCACAGCAGGGTCACTATGTAGAATTGCAACATATCCCCAGTGTGCACCAATTTCCCCACTTGAAGCAGTTCGATAATGTACCTCAGCGTCGATTCGACGAATAGTGACGGTGTCGAGGCCAGTAAGGTACACAGCCTGGGCCCCTACAGCTTCCCCAAGCATGGGTAACTTGGATAGGAACACGTGCAAGTTGCCCTTGGGCGTGCTGACAGCCAGCAATTGTCCATCATCCGACCAGGCAACCCCATCTATGGCTCTTTCTTCATCCAAAGACACGACTTCACTCACTTCCCGAAGGTCCGACAACTCGTGTATCTTTATTCTTTGAAACAAAACAATAACAAAAATTCAGAACAATCAAACAACCTCTTCTTGAACACGACTCACTGGTTGTCACCACAAGACGCGGCTTTCCCAAGAGCAGCATTCACTGCGATGTCAGTCAAGGAATCACGGTGGTTCCTGGCCTGGAACAACTCTTGGCCAATCTCTTTCATGTGGGTGGAAATGGCCACAAAGTACCCTTGACTGAATCCCAGTAGCACGTATCCATCTCCGAACCATTCGTAGGCCACCACGTTGCCGTAACGGCTCTGGAATGCGAGTTCTATCGGGTTCTCCGGGTCGTCCAGGTTGAACAAAAACAGGGTCTTGCGGGATATGATGAGGCTGATGGTGTTCTCGCCGCTTTTCCGCTCGTCAGCCTGAACGAAATCAACGATCACTGAATCGAGACGTGAAAACTCGCAAAAGAAGACTGCAGAAGCGAAAATTCCGCCAGTCAGGACAATGGGTTCACGAAAAAATGTAGCAATACTTCCGCAAACCAAGGAACAACCGGTAAATAAAAATTCAATTTCGACTATGCCAGTGACATCTACCGTATTGACTTGAGTACCACGCACCCTCGGGTTTTTCAGTCAAACATTTTTAGAAAATTCTGTCCCTGAGTAAGACGTGCGCCCCATTTTAGTGACTCCAAAACTCCTATTTTTCAAAAATAATGAAAGCCAAATTTCGATTTGGACATGATCGAATCCTGAATTTGACTGATTTTCGAGTATTTTCATTACAGTAAGTTGTTCTATTGAAAAAAGTACAAATTTTTTAGTACAAAGAATCAAATGTAAGTCACACTTGAACTTCTAAAAATTTTTGAAATGTACACCTGTCTATGACAAACACCCCCTTTTTCCCTGTCCATTTGAGAAAAAAGGTGTTTGTGGTATCACACAAGAAAATAAAGTACAGTATTCTCCTTGAAAAAAGTTAGCATTTGTGGAGGACTATTAACAAAAGCATGCCAAGTGCACCCCACTTTTCTGCCTCAATTCTGCACACAAAAAAGGATATGATGCTGGTACTTTGGTGGATCCTTTTAAAAATAAACAGCAGCCAAATCATCAAAGCACCTTCATTGTAGAGAACTGGATGTCAGAAGGGTCTCCCCTGAGCTGAGCATGTTTGATAGTGTCTCCCTCAGCATTGGACACAGTCAGGGTCCTGTCTTCACTGCCCAATGCCAACAAACTCTGCTTACTCCAAGCACCACACATGATCCTCTTGGCATGTTTGCCAATCACAGGAATCTTCCTCGATGTTTTGGAATTGTAAATCACAACATTCCCCTTGGCTGTGCCGATAGCTAGCAATGGAGCAGATTTTGACCAGATGAGGAAAGTGTGTTGGTCTTGAAGCCCAGTGTCAATGGTTGTGGATTTGAATGTCCTGGAGTCCCAGAGAAGCAGTAATGGGGTTTTATCATTGATGACTGCCAAAAAGTCGCCATCCTTGTCCCAACCGAAGCCTGAACACAGTCTGAGAAAAAAAAAAAAAGAATGATCATTTGCGCATTGAAATTGGAAAAAAAACTGTATTTACTTGAGTGCCACTTGCCCTCAAGTAGGACACACACTCAGCTTTTTCAGTCTGAAGTCCTGAATAGTACCCCAAAGCAAGACACATGCCCCATTTCTAGCAAATCTAAAATCACAACATTTCAAAAATAAGAACACCCAAACTTGAATTTAGAATCAAGTACGATGCACAACAAAATTGTAAAAAAAAATTTAAGGATACCCCCTTCATTCCCCTCACTTTGAAGAAAAACAGTGTGAATGGTACTTGTGTAAATTTGTTACACATCTCACCCCTGCAATGTGAGCCTGTCCTTAGCTTCGCCTTGCCTGCTGTACAAGTTTATGGCCTGATTGTAGCCAGTAGTTACCAGGTAATTCCCGCTGGACTTCTGCCAACAAAAGAACACTCCTCCAGGGCCATGGGGCGACTCTATGGTGAAGACCCTCTGCAAAATTCCATGCACCACACATAATGCTGAAAAATCTGCATTTACATCTCATCTTCACTACTCCTCACCTTACTCGTCATTTTCACATGGCACAAGAGATAAAATTATCCTCTCAATCCTAAGAAAAGGAAGGATATGAGGATCAACTGGACTGACTTTTCTTCTTCTTTGTTCTAGCTGCAACAGGAAAATACATCCGAAAAACTTGAAGAAAGTTTAAAGATTCGACGTGAAAATTTTGAAATCTCACCGAAGCAGCTACAACAAAGAAGCACCAAAAACCGAATCAAAGCAAGAACACTTGTCATCCCTTCAGTAATGAATTTTCATTTCACAATTTTCAGAATATCCGTTCCGGAAACTCGAATTCCACGTTCTTTCCAGTTAGTCGCTTGTAAACCGCCTTGAATGTATCAACCTGGAATGCAAAAAGGTACAGGTTGAAGTTTCTAGAGTTGAATGACGATGAAAAACGAAAAATAATCAGTACTTTGTGTTCCACGGTCGTCTGCTGGCTTTTGTCTAAGTGCACTTTGATGAGTCTTGATCCATCCAACTTTGTCCGGATGCGTTTTCCTACGATCTCTGCTGGATACACCAGGTCGTCTAAAATGGCTTCATGCACAGCCGTCAACGTTCGGCTAATCAGTTGAAAAAATGAAAGAAGAAAATTCTTCAAAAAAAGTCCACTCGATTTTCTCGTTGACAGGGTGTGCATCACCTTCGAGGTCGCTTTTGCTTGCTTTTCAAACTCATTTTTCGAGTGGGTTTCGGAAGAATACGGCGTTGCGCGATGAAAACTACGTGTTTTCCACTGAATTTCTTCTCCAACTCCCGGACAAGTCGTGTGTGGATCTTCTGGTACGCTTTCAGTTGAGGGTACGGAACGAAGATCACAAGGCTCTGTAAAGCATCGGACTTGAAAATGAAACACGCGAATCGCACATGATATACTTTCACAAAAACCTTTCGTTGCGGACATTCGAGTTCCTTGACAGACGAGATTTGGAGTTCCCGCAGTTGAGCCTTGACGTCAGTGGAGGATTCGAGTTCAACAAGGGCTTGAGCGATGCTAGTCTCCAACTCGTCAGGGTTTTCGCCGTTCGGCTTTTTTATTTTCGATTCCGCACTCACGACCATTGCTACAAGAAGTTTGACACTTTTCCGAAGATGAGACGCGACGCACGTAGCAGTGGCACGAAGGCCTGACCTGTAGCGATGGACATAACGAGTCGTAAATTTAAGTCCGAAGGTGCAATGTACGGGATACACATTCTATGTAACACCATCACGGGGAATTGACATGATCGGACACGTAGATTAATTCACCGATTGATGAGCACAAAGGAATTCGAGATGCGGTATCAAATGCACTCCTTGCTCCAACAAAATCCCCCAACAGCATCTGTTCGGGTGAAACACAGGAAAAGGCATCACAATGTCACAGTATCAACCCCATAGGAAATATGAACCATATGAAACAAGGGTACAGTTCAGCTTTTCGAAGTGGCAAACCGGCGACTTTTTCATCATCCCCGATCTCTCTGAAGCGGGTACAAAGGCAATATGGAAAACTGCGTATAAAAATCCGTAACGTACCGTCCTTCTAACTTTCGCCACTTCAGGTCTATTCCAAATACCTCGCATCAAATAAACAATCTGTCATAAACATCCTATAAAACTTGAAGATCACGGAAATTGAGGAATCAAAGACAACAAGGGGATTCGTAATGCCCAACGATGGCTTTTGATTGAACATCAGTACCGAAAAAAGGATAAACTAAATACAGTACTATACATCATGATCACAATAGGCTGGCACCAGAGATTCAGCCCAACCAAATTATTTCGGAAAGACTAGCCCGCGAATCTTCAAACTGAATAGGAAAACACCGGTTCCGTCAGGCAATAGAGATTCGGAATGGCAGCAATATTTTCGGCGAAATGGATTGACGAGCAAAATCTTTCGGAGCTCAGGGAAAATCCGTAAATTTCAATGTTCAATCATTCAGGTAATCGATCAATTAAGGTACCGTATATCTTGTGTGTCACCTTGTGCGCTTGGACGCCTCCGTTGCCGCCGACGGACCGGACGGATGTCAGAGCCTTGGTAGGACGGGTGGGAAAGCCAACATGCCCAATTAGCATTACAAAGTACTATACTTTATTCCTTTTTAGTGGGATTTCGGTGGACCCTTCATTCACCATTCACATGTCTAAGATGCTTATCCTCTTCAGAATCAGCATAACTACTGTACATATACTGTTAGGTCAATCCTTCTTCCTGTAGTATAAACGGCTGAAGAGCTCACAATAAAAAAAAAGGACTAATACTGGTGTTTGGTAGTACTAATGTAATATGTCGGTGCAATAATTTCTTGTATACTCCAGCTGGTGAAAATCAGTGCCCATGCAAATAAATTCCGTATTAATACCTTTGTATACAACTTAGTTAATGTAAATGCATAGCAAATCATTAATGATGCAGAAAAAAATGCAAGTACAATATTATCCTCAACATAATTTACCAGGAATTTTGATGAGAAATAGTTCAAGAACTCCTATCACTGTACGGCATTAAGTCAAACGCATGTGAGCTTCGGCGAGAAGTCCACTCACGCACTAAATTGATCACGACAGAATTACAAAAAATGTTCTTTCAACTGCGTGTGTATATAGATCCTCTCCGAAGTTAGGCTACAGAACAAAATTTCCTATAGTTGATGTCCAAGGAATAGTACATATAGCCATAATCTGAATAGTAAATATAGCCATAATCTGGAGTTCATTTATGACCAATTTAGTCAAAAGTAACATATTTTAAAGGTACCATTCACGGATAATTATAACAAGATTTTACTTTATTTCCATTGTAAGAGGTCTCTGAACCAAGGCTAAAAGTTTTTAGGAAACCTTCTCTTGCGATGCCACATACTCATGAATCGTTTTTCGGTGCGTCGTACTTCAGACAAGAATTTTTCGAGAAGAGCTCCCAGTTTAATTCGGCGATCGTGAAAATTCTTCAACTCAGATACAGCTGTCAAATGTCTTCATTACGGCAAAAAGTTCGAACAAGTAAAACGATATCAAGAACTGGCAGTGAATTTCTTCCCAAATGCGGAAATTAAGCCTTCTCCGGTACCTGCATTCACGCACTCAACTAGTTCATTTCATCACAGAGGCTTCGGAAACACACAGGACACTAAAGTGGATAAAGTATTTTTCCCGTCAGCAAACACGAGATAATGTACTTTAATCCAGTTTGTTCCATCCGTTTGCTTTTAACGGCAGCTGTGGCATTAACTGTTGCCCAGAGACTTGATCGACCAGACTTCAGAGTCAATAAATTCATCCGTTTCTTCGACGGGTTCCCATCACCTTGTTCCACTTTGTAACAACCTGGAGAAATAAAATTTCGTGAATAAATGTGCATTTCGATAAATGAGAACTTACCATGAATCAGGGAGCTATCCCAGAACCAGAGAATAAAGCTGCTAACCGGGAAGGAATTCAAAGCTTTGATCATCAGTGAAAAAACAGCGTCCAAAGACAGGAACAACAGCCTCAGCTGGACGATGAAATAAAGCGAGAACATCAGGATCAATCCTTGGCATCAGACGTATAGAAAATTATTCACAAAACGCGTTATCATCCGAAAATCAGGAAACACTGCTTTAAAATGAATTTTTAAAAATCTGACTTTCGTTCGTTCTAGCGATCAGAAAATCGTGGGCATTAATTTATCAACCATGTCAAAAACAGCGTAAATAAAGCGACTCAGATTTTCCAAGTGACTCACCAACGTGAACACGACATAATAAACCAGAAACGCCGGAAGAATGAAAAGAGTGATAGTGAAGACTCCGATCCCGACGTAATAGCGATCATCATCATCTGACGCGGAATCCACTCGTTTCCTCAAAGGGTTCCACTTCTTCCCTCGAAATAAACGCCCGAAGCATTCTAGGCTCTTGATGCAGAACGAGTACAACCTTACAGCAGAAAAGAAAGGACCATACGTCTCAACAAATATAATGAAGAAAGGAAAGGTCGGCTAACGGGACTCACCTCGCAGCATACACGTAGAAGCAATACACATGGAAAGCGGCCAGACAAACCATATCTCTCAGGATACTCAATTGAAGCGAAAGACCGAACTTTCCCAGCAACAAGACAACTTCGAGTATTTCCAGAGCCAATGGTGTTATCAATGCTACCGAATAAGGAGTTATATTCACTTTGAATGTCAAATTAATGTTACTCGCGAAATACTCACCCATGTAAGTCTTCCACAAGTACATATGAAATTTGAAAAAAAGACCCAAAGCATAATTGGTCTCCTGGTTCAATTTCAAACCAACAGGTACACCCATTAGCCAATCCAGGAGATGATCCAATTTGTCGACTATCACCTAACAAAAGATTGTACATACTGTATATGTTTTTCGATCCTTCCGTGCTTCTGATTAGACTGAGCGTCAAGTTTTTTCTTGAATGACGTAATCAAGGGTGGAAAAATGGCCGTAAATTCAAGTCTTTTCTCTCGTTTGGTGTATTTGAATAAATATTGTTCGCGGGTCAATCTTTAAACACGAGAGATTATAAAGTTTTATATATATTCCTTCAGGTGGAATTTTTGCCGACTTCTGAGGAATCCCAGGCTTCACAGTTGAAACAAAATTTCATCAGAGACACCGAAAAATAGGTGCAGTTTTTCTTCTGGTTTTACGTCCGAGCGACGAACAAGAAGTCGAACAAAAATAATTAACGCTCTTCCTTTTTTCGGGAACCAGAACGAAGTGGAGAAAATGCGTCCTCTCATTCATTTGGAATTTGGATGGCACGGGATGCTTTTCAAAGACAGAATCAAGAGTTTCTTTTGAATATTGTGGATAAGAATTTCAATGGCAGTTTGCACATGATTTACTGAACTTTGAAAAACTCCAACACTCACGTCAGTGGAATTCTGAAAAAACCCCATGATCTCTTTGGCCGTGAAAGAGACGACCAATGTCGTCAGCAGGAACCCAAGGATAAGGTCAACCGACAGCAATAATGCAGTGTTCCAGAATGCGAGCCAAGATCCAGAGCGGAGAGTCGTGTAGCAAAACACCATCTGCTGCACCTTGTCATACACCACATCCGCCAGGCTAGAGAAGCCATTCAGCTTCTCCACAACCAAATCCAGGGACTTATTCGCAAAGTGTCTCCGATGACGTCTTCTCAGCATCCCGGGCTTCTGCAAGCTTCTCGTCAAATCGACAAATTCGCACGTTGGATTCAATACCGGGAGGAGAACTCCGGATGCGAGCGCCTTTCTCGAGTATCTGATGAAAGTCCATGCTTCCTGACGACCATCGGCAGTCAATTCAGAATCCGGGTATTCAACAGTCAAGGGAAAAGCGAAGAATGTGAAGGACACTCGAATCGCATCTGATGTGTCTCCGTTGCCCTTTCGTCTCCAAGTTCCAATAACGCCGTCTTCTAGGCGACCATCTTCAGCAGTGATATCCGTAATGAAAACAGACCTCTTGTGTCCCGACGTCAACACACGGCCTATCAGGTAAGGTTTTTCCGGAACAGGATCACGAGTGAATAAGCTTTCGTCTACGTAAATAAAACACTTCATAGCGGCGAAGGTTGATCAGCGCTGTGATGGCAAGTGAACCTCTTGACTTCCGAAAGCCGCTTCAAGGTTTCTCCCGCTTACCATTATGATGAATCCCAAACGTAATTCACCATTGTAACAGGTGTCCCACACTTATCTCTCCACAGTCATGAGCTTTACGTGTTCGAAAAAAATAAGGACTTGTGGTACACGAGTTATGAATAGATGCAGCTTTCCGGCCTAATCTTAACGGCTCGCGTTTCGCTCTTGATCAATAAGTCGACCTTCAAAGCCGCGCCAAGCGCATAGACAAATTAATATATGATCGATGCAACGTGTATACGATATTCCTATAAATGTAAAAACAAATCACGGAGAATAAATGATGAAAACATGTCGCAGAGTTATAGTCACATCAAATTGCCGAAGGTCACGAAAATTATACGCAGTATACAATCTTTTTCGCCCAAAGATCACCAGATAAAAAAGGGAACATTTGTTGCCTTAATGATGCTCCATTGCCGCAATGATGGCAACCACACCCTCACTTCCACATCTCTCTTCCGGGATGTTTCACGAAACTGATGAGAAAAAGTGGCAATAAAACGGGCTTTTCGTTGAATTCAACCGCATTCAGTTTTCCCATCACGGCATTATATCACGCCATCTGCAGAATACAGTAGTTCTGATGAAAGGCTGTTGCGGAAGGGTTTCTCCACGTTTGTTACGTCTCGGGGCAAAGGGAGCCTTCATAGAACACAAAAAAAAAATCAATTCAATAAGCATCATTTACGTCAGGCTAACTTGATCTAGCTGTGAATTGAACGTGCTTCAAACGAAGGGAAATTTTTACACTTGTCTGTAAATAATCGTGTGAAAAGGCTAAGTGGGACTTCGAGACGATAATGGTGTGGTCACAGCTTCAAGGGCAAACCTATAAAAATGAAATTTCACGATGTGATACCCAGAATTATAGATACCTTGCATAATGAATTTCCCGTTTAAAGAACTCATCGGACTGCCACAAAGTTTAGTGTTTCAAATGAATAAAAAAAGGATCGTCTTTCGAAAACATAACCTTGTAAAATTTAATTTGAAGGCCTTTTGATATGACTATTTATTCAAAAATTCCTGGAATACATTCATGAGCGATCCCGAATAAATTACCGTGAATACACAGAATAGATTTTATATTCGAGGAACGTTTTGGGCGGGCTCGAAACTTATCCGTCATACTACAAAACTTCACATTAGTCGGCAAATAGAATTTTCGGATAATGAACTTTCGACTGGAACGAATCGATTCCATAACTGAGGCACCAGTGTCAAATTTAGCAGATCTGTTCAGGCTTCACGACACATTATACCATACATTGCTTGTCTCGATTATCGCTAAAAAATGACCAATGACATAATTTGTTATTCCACGCAAAAAATTCTAACGTAAAATGAAATAATCATCACTTGTTCCGACGACAAGTCCCAAAACTGATCTCAACAAATTTTAAAATGCTCATTTTATTTTATCCCTCGCTTCCTCAAATGCACTACGATGACCAACAGAGAAAGCTAAATAAATGGAAATCGTTTCGATGTTTTTCATAAAATGCGCCAATAAATCCTTCCATTCTATGCAGAACACAACCGTGAATCCATGGAATCATTCACTACCACACACACGCCGATAGTCTTATCCATTGAGGACATTAAAGCACTAAATCTGAAATACAAGATCAGAAGCAAACATAAATCATGACTTACTTTCGATGATGCAATAGAACCTCTGCTATCCGTGCTTCAATTAATTAGTTTTCCTGAAATCCGAACTAATAAAAATAGTTTAGATCAAGAGTACGTGAAATACTTTCATCCACATATTTCCGACCCCTAAGACATATTCGAAGCATGAGTCACCAACTGGAACTTTCACGACTCCACACAATTTTCAAGCATTCTTTATCACATTGATTCTGATCTAGCGTGAATTTGCTCAAGGAAAAAAAGGGACTCATACATAATTTATAGTCGAGACTAAAATTACGAACAATAATTCAACAAATAAAAATATTTTCTTGACCATCAAAATGCGTGATTCTTGATTATCCAGAATAAGGAGTCCAGTCATTAGCTAGGATGACGGAGGTTTCATTGCACACAAAAAAAAAAGGTTTCGATAGCCATGTTAATATATCGACCGGCGAAAACATGTTTAGCGTGAAAATCATACAGAGAACCACACATCCCACAAAAAAATTCATCTGGTCGATTAGAAACATCCGAATACAGTACCTGGAATTTCGTCATGCGTAAGAAAATTAGAATTTCCGGATAGGGATTTTAATAATCTGAAAATGTACCGCGAGAGTGATTTCAAACTCGATCACTGAAAGTCAACTTCCACTTAGAGTACGTCACTAACTCGACCATGATATCCTCAACACAATTTCGTTGATCAACGAAGAAACACAAAAAATGGAATGAAACACCTATCAATGCACCGAACTATCACAGAATCTTGAGACTACGAATCTAGTAGTCTCCAAATTTCTTAAATCCTGAAACTGCAATCAATCCGGGGTATGAGGAGGATCCGTGCTGAAGTAAGGAGCAGTGTTGCTCACCAGCAAAGTGTGGCAAACATCGCAAACTCGGGCTGGTTTCGAGTGAGAACCACTCGGCACACTTTTGGATGTGCACTCCGGACAGAAAACCTTGCCACAGTGTTTGCAATTATGCTGAAACGAAAAAGCTTCCATTAGAAAATTAAAAAAAAAAAAAACCGATTTGATTGTGCAACTCAAAATGAGCCATGTTTAGAATATCAAGTTGAAACAAAACTAATCCCGACTGCATAAACTAACAACCAGTGTTGTCCGACTCAGATGTGGCCAAGGAACACATTAATAAATTTGTTGTGACATTACAGAGCTGGAGAGTCCTTACGGGTCATATTAGACAATTTTTGAGGATCCAAATTTTCTCATGTCAAAGGAAAGTTTCAAATGTAATTCATCGCTACGCAATGAATCACATAATATAATATACAGTGAGACCCCCACATGCGGACACCTCGACCTGCTGACAATTCGACATAGGGACACTTATTTTATAAAAAATTAATATAAAATGACCCGACATGAGGACACTGACTCAACATAGGGACATTTTGTTATAAAATTGCAAATACATTTCAGGCCAAATTACAAGAAACATATATTTCCAGCCCTAAAATTGATGTAAGAAAAGTTCTTTGGCATTTCCCTCACCAATTTACCATCCATTTTGACAATTAAAAAAAATTACCTCCAGCAGAGAGGGACTTCCCTCTCTCTTTTACACTTGAATATTTTTTTTAACAGAGAACGCCAACATTTCTATGTACTGTACAGATGTATCAGTATTAAATTCCCCAAATGCCCATATTGTGTTGAAATTTATTGATTGGAATCAGTTTAAATTGGGAGACAATTTTTATTTTCATGGAATTATGGTGAGTATTTTGGACATAAAACACCAATCAGAAATTACATAATGTAAGTCTAAGGGAAAATGAGACTTGACTTAGGGACACTCTTGATGCACCAATTACGTCCGCATCTCGGGGTCTCACTGTAACTTTGTCTGAATCCAACACAACGTCGAATGAACAAGATGAGCTTGAAAAAAATTATTCACTCAACCATCTCGACCTCAATTAAACCAATTCGATCTCATTAGGTATCTAGGACAATTTGATGCAGTGATATTTCGAGATAGAAACATTTCAAGATATGTAAAATTTTAAACAGGAACATTTGGAAACCAATTTCAACATACATGGATAGTGCTCCATATCATCTCCCTATAGTCATTTGCCTCCCTAACATGAGGCTTCTGCCAAAATTTTCTTCCACAGAAAGAAAAAAAAAAATTTTTTTCACTGCCTTACTAATTACATTCTTCTGGATTGAAGCCCACTTCATTAAGATCTATTGGAATAAGGGGCACTCATCCTCTTTTCTCCCAAACTCCCAAAGCACCATATTTTGGAAGAGCATGGAGAACTTCAGAATTACCGCTGGCTATGAATGAGTGTGAAGGTTAAAAAATAATTATAAAAATGTCCTAGTCTCAAATTGACCGTTGCTCAAATTTTCTGTTTCAAATTGTCCATAAAATCTATGCTGATAGGAACAAAACAAACCATCATCTAAATCATAATAAACGAACCCTGACTAAGCCGAACTGACATTGAGCTAAATTTAGAGGAAGAAAATAATTTCAAGTAACCTTTACCGAGTTACTCAACCCAACTCTAGTCGAACGAAATTCGGGCGACACCTACTCTATGGTGGACTAAACAATCGCGGACACACAAGTTGCGAAGCGAAAACGAACCCAAATTTACCTTCTTCTTGGACCGAGAAAAAGAAGCGTGACAAGAGTTGCACTCATCCACATCTTCGGGGTCCTGCCATCGAACCTCCTTTTCCGAGCTACGGATTTTCTCCAACTGCACTTGCAGCGATTGAGACAGTTTCACGAAGTCCCTTTGCACAGCCTCACTATTGTTCAAATCTTGCGTAAGGCCGCTGTTCTTACACTGCAGTCTGTGGACCTCAGATTCCAGCCTACTCTGAAATTTCATGAACAAAATTTAAAATTTTCAGATGATTCCTTCCCACTCCAAATCGTCCAGAAGCGAAAAGAGTATTCGTGAGTCTAGACATATTGCAGAGAGCTTGTTCACACGCTTCTTTTCTAGAAATTCAACGACTTATCATCAACGATCGATTTCCGAGGACACTGAAGGGCTATCTAATTGAGATTTATTCTCTTTATACTGTAGTAGAAACTCGTCGAATATCCTGATCTTCGCTCATTCTCGTCATGCATGGGTGCAATTTTTAAGCATAGCCTGTTATCCAAGTCCAAATTGTTCCGAAAAATATTAGGATATTGTAGGAATAAAAACGAATACACTTGCCCATACAGTATTTACTTTTTACTGCAGATGGAAGCTCAAAAAATGGATAAGAAGATAGAAGAAAGGGGCATAGGCAAATCAATTCCTCTCAACTTGAAGATACTTGCTGGAAAATGCATAAAATACAATAAAAAAAAAGAATAAAAATTAAAACTCGTCAGCTTCGAATACGGAATTACCCTGAAGCTCACCAGTTCAAATGCTTTTTGATCAAACTCACCGAAATACAGTTTAAAATCCAGATCCTTACGTTAGCAGGGTAATAAAATCATTTTTTATTCACTTTGATGCGTTGATTTTTTCTGATTTGCAAAAGGAAGATGAGAAATTGTGAGAAATCAAACCTTCTCCGCGATGAGCTCTTCCGCAGATTTCTTCAGCACCTGAATCAACTGAGAGTCTTTGATTCGATTGTCTTCAGAATGAATTTTCAGCTCGTCCATTGCTCGTCGCATGGCCACGGCCGACTTTTGCTCCCTCTCGTAAGCTTCTTGAACCCCCTCCAAAATGAATAATCTTTCTCTACAATGAAAAAAATATATACACATGATTATAAACGAATGTCCAATTGCTGACAGATTTTCAGACTCACTTGAGTTCATCCAATTCATGATGCAAGGATTCCTCTAGATCCTGCTTTTCTTGTTTCTCGGCCAAGATCCGATCCTTGAACATCCTCCGTTCTTTCTTGAGTGTGTCATGCAGAGCCTCCGCGGCTACTTTGGCGGAAATCAGATCTTCTCTGTACTTCAAAAGGAGTTCATGGAGCTCCTACGAAGAAAAAAAAAACAACGCGTTGAAAAAATATGCACGGGTCTTAATTTGTATTTCTTTTTCAAACTGGTCATTCTATGCCAAGACTTGAGATCATTTGGATTGCGGAACAGGAATGATGCCAGGAAATGTCGAGGAAAGAGAAATGAGGTGGATTCGATCGTAGGAGCAAGAAACCAAAAAGTGAGAATGAACGCATCTGTCATTCGACATGCTTTCGCTCAGCTGATTTTCGTTACCACGAGTAAATTCCGTTTCAAACGAAAGACGAACAACAACAACAAAAAACGATGTCTCCACGGAATAAAAGAAAAATCCCGTGCAGTAAGAAATTTTCACTGTTGAACAGGTTGTGAGCACGGTATTGCATACGTCGTAAGCCTTGAACTTTTACTTCGTCATTCCCCTTGATAAGGAAACTTCTAGATTTTGTTGCAGAAAACAATTTTTCATTGAAACGTTTAAATTCTGCTTTTATTGAAAGTTCACTTGAATTATTTTCACGCAACAGTACCTTTTCGGACACCTTGAAATATTCCAGGGTAGTTCGTCCTTGTTTAAATGATTGATATCAAAGTTTCCGGGCGGGGAGTGCTATTCTCGTACAAACTTTTGTTTCTCGAAGATGAATGGCTTCATTAGTACACATCTGAAACATTTTCTAAATTTTCTATCCAATAAAATCTTTTGCAGTGTCTTTTGATTTCCTAAAAACAAAGTCAGCCTCGGATTTTGGTCAGCAATTTTTCGAAGAGGTGGAAGAATTTTCGGTTATGGGACAATATACGGCTTCATTTTCCAGTACAGTATACTGTACTATTAAAACTTTCTTACTGATCAAAATCTTTCAAATCTTATCACATCCTAAAAAATATTGTCAGCTTCATGCTTTGGTCATCAATTCTTTGAAGGAAAAGATATACTGTTATCGATAACAGTAAGTGAAATGCGCACGACATACGCCGTGACATACGCAATAAATAATTTTGATTCAATCGAATAATTTTTCGAAAAAGTAAATTGTTACGAATGGTATTTTTTATCATTCAAAGGTTTCACTTGTGTGAACCTGTTAAAATCCGATTGTGGTGACTTGTCACCAGCATCTTTTGTAGTGCACCTTTTCATTGATGATTTTGTCTGAGTTGTCTTTGTGCTTCAATAAAAGCATTTATTGGGTGAAAAGCCTGTTCTATTTTCTCGAAGGTCTCGCGTCGTTGGAAAACACCTCTCCGCGATCAAGGGGTTAAGAACCTCTAAAAGAGCAAGACACTCTTTTAACGTTCCCTTAGTTTATTCATTGTTGTTGTCTTTTAAAGTAAAAATAACGTAAAAAGGATAACAAAATTAATTAAAGAACACCATACAAAAAATCACGGAAAATGTTATTCATTAATTAGTAAAAATTATTTTGACGTTCAGAAAAAATAAACGTACAGTAGTGTATATTGTTGCTTTAAAAAAATTTCCACTCATGTTCCACGAAAATTAGCTAGACCCCCGAAAAGAAACTTCAATACTATTCATTAGTGCCTTTTCAAAATTTTGAAAAATCTGTCCTCTCGATTTTCATTATCCTGTTGGGCGCTTCAAAATTTACCAGTCACTTCATACGGTTGTGAAGAATCACAGAGCAAAAAATATACACTGTACTGTCAAACCGCTCATTAGTCGAATTAAAAGAGATCAGCAAAAAAATTTTAGTTAGGGAGGTTTCGAGTCAGAGAAACAAGCTTTTTTTTTCAGGAACGAACAAGGAATTACAAGAAATCGTAATTGGTGATATTCTGGGCCTCAAATTGCTTCTTGAATGAGTTGACAGGATGCTGAACTTGGAGGAAAGGGTTTATTTTACCAATTATGTCTTTCAATCCCTTTCAAAATGCATCTGATTACATTGTTATTGCTATTCTCTTTCATCCAATGTCAATAAAATAATCGCCAAAAGGCCTCCAGAAAATTCGAATTACGGCTGTTCAAAAATGAAAAATTTTTATTTCACGGGGGTTTTTAATGCATTGTTTCGAAAGGAATTCCGAAGCGGGCTTTGAAAAAAAATTTGACATAGAGAGGTTTGAGTTATCAAGGTTAAATCGTGCGACAAAGAATAACAAAACTGAAAAAGAAAAATGTGATCCGTGACAAACTCACGTCAACACTGTCGGGGAAATTGATGGCCTCGTTCTGCAGCTCCTGGGAATGCGCACTGTGCTTCCCGACCAAATTATCATTTTCAGTCCTCAGCATATTCAATTCCTTTTGAGCCGCTTCCCTGCCATGAACCAGATCTCGAAGTTTCGCTTCCACGCTTCGTTTCCATTCAAGCGTCTGCAATTTCATCGCCGCCAGAGACTTTTCCTTCGCATCCAAATTCCTCGCCAATTCGGTGGCTTGACGTTCGTATTCTTTAGACAGGCCCAGCCATTTTTCTTCCATTTCCTTTCGATACCGGCTTTCTCGGTTCAGGTCTTCCTTGTAACGTTCAAGGGCTTGTTCCAATGACTTGGTGGTTCTTTCGGCGGCCTTCTGGTCCTTTTGGGCGTCCTGGAGGCGGATTTCGTAGTTGGCGCACATGGGGCAGGACTTGACGAATTTCTCGCGGGCAGATTCCACTTCGTGATGAAGAAGGTTCCATTCTTTTTCCAAAACGAGGATCTGCTTGTCCACCAGTTTTTCTTCTTCCGATGAAGGGTTTGCTTTCGGTGACGCTGACTTGGCATTTCCTTGATCCTAAACGGACAAAAAGATAATGCGTTAATTACTAAGAGAGACTTTCTTGGTAGCTCTTAAATTAAATGAATTAACATTCGTGAAAGAATTTTCAAGAAAGGAGAAACAAATAATTCGGAACTGCTTCAAGCATCATTTCATGGTAGTTAGGACATGGAACGACGAAGAAAGTTCAAGTCGGGGGCAGCGAGCGAACACATCAGAGGACTAATTTTTACTCAATTTAAAAGCGTATCGTTTTTTTTCTTCAAGCATGAGGTATCATTTCCGTTTCAACTTTCAAAATCGTTTCCGCATTCGTGTTATTTCGCTAAATTTGAACATCGAATTTAATATTAAAATAATAATTTAGATCGACAGTCAGAGTAACAGCATAACAATCAATTACGTTATCGCTCAATTGGTCAAGTTCAGAATCACTAAAACTCGACAGCATCAGAACAACTATGAGTAAATAATTCTGAGGCTCATGAGGCAAACTTCTTTCAAGACTAAGGTTTTCAATCCTTCTGACCAGTAGAGCCAGATCTGTTACCGCTGACATTGGAGTTCCTGTTTTTTTTTTCGAAAGAGTAGGATTAATAATAAATAAAAGAACAATTCCAAAATTTTAACATATTTCTCAAGTTCATGATTAAAAATATTCAGCAATACTTCTTTTTCACATATCTCCGGGGTCCCTGTAATACCAGCATTGCATCAGCTCGACTTACCAGAAGAATTTCTTCAAGGAAAGACCCTCAGAAAACTTTCCAGACACACGATTTTGTTCTCACGTCATACACATACGAGAAATAATTAAGAGATCCAGGCCTATACAATAAGAACACTTTACCTGAGCAGTGGCATCGTCCCCATGATCTTCTCCGTCTTCTTTCGGTGCACCTGATACAAAAAATAATAATAAATTGTTATGCATGAAGCCAAGACAGAACTGTTCACACTAACCATCGAACTTCTTCAGCTGTTCAGGCGAGAAGATTTCCAAGAGCCTTTTCCGTTCAAGCAATCTGTTTTGCTCGAGTTTCTGCGCGTTTTCATTGGCTTTCACCAACAGTTCCTTCACCTCGTTATGGGCCTTTCTTTCTTTTTCCAGACTCAGTCGCGCCTCGTGCATCTGGGTTCTACGAAAATTTGGTCAGAAATCAACGATGCATTACTTTAAGCGAAGACATAAAAAACTGGCGATTTAAAAAACTAAACGTGTATTCGGAAATACTGTACCTCAGCCTGTCAGCTTCTTCACGCAAGGACGCCTTTTGCGCATTCAGAACGGCAATATGTAGCTCCAAATCACTGATGGTTCTTTCTTTTCCGTCAGATGTGGTTTCCTTCATTTTCGCATCCAACTGGGCCATTACTTCATCCGGTGGTTTTCCTGTTAACAAATCATCCAAAGCTCGACAGCCTTTCAGTAAATCATGTTGATTAGCCTCATAGACACGAAGTTGCTCGTCTGCAACTCGAAGCTTATCTTTCAATGCGGCTACTTCTTGTTCCAAAGTGGCTGCTAAAGATCTGACAAACTCCGCATCTTCCTCAGCCTGACAGAAAGAATGAAAAAGACGAAATAAAGTTGACTTAAGCTTCAACAACCGGCGTAAAAAAAAGAGAAAATCTGTACTGCATAACTAATTATAGGTTCAATTATTGATTCTTACTTTATTGGCAACTGAATATATTCTTGGAATATTTAAAGCTAAGTCTTAATAACCTCTGCCACGGACAACTTTTTGATGAGAAAAATTTTTCATGTCTGTGCCGCTGTCACAGACATCGAACGTTGAAGTAAAAAATTGAAAATTTTAAGAATGACAAAAATATTGCAACAATATCGACATCCCAGAATCCTAGCTTGAAAATTTGTTTTGAACAGTTCAGAAAAGTAGGAAAAAAAGAGGGCTTAAAATATTGAGGACATTTACAACACAGATATGATTGGCTATGAAATGCGTTAGAATACCGTATTGACGGATAACATATTACAATAAAATCAACATATGGAAATGCTCAAATTAAACTCACATGAGAATTCTTCCGATCTTCTTTTGAATCGTCGTTTTGAAAACTTTGGATCCTATCCACTGTTTTCGCGAAAGTTTTCGACACAACCGATAACACGCTGGGACCAACAGACGGCAGTAACTGATCCTTTCCATCCAAAGCAACTGTATTCGCATTGCACCTGTATGTCTCTAGTTTCTCGCGCAGGTGTCGGATTTCACCCTCATACTTGGCCTCCAATGAACGACGGACTTCCTCCAGTCGCTCTACATGAAACAAAAATAAATTACGTAATACGTTCATGAATGAATAGATGCGGGTGACATCGAAGTCACAGGTCGAACACACGCGCTGAATACACTAGTTGAATGTGTGATTCCCTCACCATCCATCAAGCGCTGCACAGTTGCGATTTCATCGGCGCATTTCCTCTTTTCCATTTCGATTTCATTCTCTTTGGTGCACTGAGCGATGAAAACCTGACCATATAAATGCCCATGATCGACACGAAAAGCTGACAGAAGAGCGACGAACTTACTTCGGATTTCACATCACTGATTTCCCTCTGCAGATTGCCGATTTCGGCTCTCAGCAACGATTCGATTTCACGACATTTCATCAGCTCTTCCGACTCTCTCTTCAGGTCCTCTAAAAAACGAAAGTTTCCGTTGGCATCACATTAAGATTCCACGGATCTACCTGATTTAATTCTTCACCAAGCATTCAAACATGTTAAGTTCCGAACTCAGACTACCTCGATCTATTATTGCAAGGTAGGTACAGCTAAAATATACGAACGAACCTACAGAAAGTTACCTTCTTTCTGAATGAACAGCGAGCGAAATTTCGCCCTGTTAATGCGGAATTCTTCCTCCGCAGATTCTTTCTCTCTCATCAACTCCTCCTCCCGTCTCTCAAGCAAGCGGAGCCGACTTTGCAAACCTGGAATGTGCACGGTTAACGACGAAGTTTTCTACACTGATAATCTCAGAAGAGTTCACGTTGTTAACGAACGGTTTTAAACCTCCAAGAATTAATGGTTTCGAAACTTGCGCAAGAGATAATCTTCTTAGAAAGTTTATTTTCTATATTTAACGCTGTACAGCACGTCGATTTGTTGATAAATAAAAACAGGAAATTTAAAATTATCGTTGAAAACACATGCGCTAACCTTCCAGTGAAGGAGCTTCCCCATCTTTCGAAGCTTCTTCCGTCTCCATCGGTCAGCTTGCCATGTTGCAAGAGATCAAACAACGCATATCCGCCCGAACACTTCCTCAGAAATCAATGACTCGCACACCAATGACTTCCTCTGTCACCTGTTAGAGGTATCCCAGTACATCAAATCCGGGACCTTCGCTAAGGTGGGGTGCTTGAACTGCCCGCATGGCTCTCACGTGTTGATCAAAACAACATAACATGTACCTTACTTACCTCATCGTTATTGGTGGAAGATTGCTTAAAAGACCGACGTGAAGCAAACCACATCAGGGTTTCAATATGTTAATCAAAAATACTTGGGAATAAAATTTTCCCCTTTCTCGTACTGTGTATCTGTGCTGCACTAGGGAAATAAAGAAATCAAACGTCCTTGCATAGTTGCATGCAATCAAGAGCAGATTCCTTTGTATCTGAATTGTATATACAGTATAGTATTGAAGAAAAATTTTTAAACTGACCTTTTGTCCAGTGTATAAGTATAGGAGACAGCAAGCATGCTTGACCAGCAATGATAAAAGGCATATATTTTATCGCATCCGGTTACTTTTGTTTGCTGCTTTAGTATATTCATTGTAATAAAGGATAATCAGATTAGATTCAAGTATTTAGTGTCATCATGTCGTCTGACGCAAGCATACATGTGAGATTTTCATTTGTAATGTGCATATGTGCTGTGTAATGTGATCGTCCAGCAATAACATTAAGTCACTTATTATGATACAAATTATTGGAAGATGACTATATATGATGTTCGCCTTTTCTACATCAATGAAAACTTTCAATAATAATCTTGGTGGGATTATTTATTGCTTTATTTTCCCCCCTGAATGTATTCTGAGCATAATACAGTTCTTCAAGTGCTGCTGTTAAACATATTCCTATTTTGTATTATGAATTATGCAAGAACTTCATATGCAGCTATTAGTACTGTAATTTTCCATGATGTGAAAAGAATTTCGCATTCAG